GGCCATGGGCAATGCTTTGAATCCAGGCTCGGGGCAGGGGGTTGGAGATAGGAGTAAGGGGTGGTAGTGGTAAGCCCCTTCAACCCATTCACCAATTGTTTAATTGTGCCAACCCTAATGGCTGCTAGAAGATCTAAATGTATTGAAAATCTCCTTTTTTAGCTGTTTGATATCTAATGGGATGTTTCCCTTTTTTAAAATTTTTAAAAATTTTTTTTGGGATGTTTCCCTTACCTAAGCTATTTTAGACTTTGATTGAAAAAAAATTCCTTTTTTACTGATTGACATCTAATGAGATATTTCCTTAAATCCCTGCTTTTGTTTCTGATTAAAGCCCAATCCTGTAAGGTTATGTCATATGGATAAGGGGTTTACACAAAACCCCTAATCCATTTTAGCATCAAATGATATTGAAAGTCCCTAATCTGATCCTCTAATAAATGAATAGTCTGTTGTAGTCGTCCAATCATTTTTTCCTAAAAATGTTCAGTATGATAGTCATAGAGTGTCTCTCTGGCAGCATCAGCAATGGTAGAAATGAGTGTATAAGTATCAGGAAGGCAGCAATTGCCATTCTCTGCAAGGTCTTCTTGATGTGTTGAGTAACTCTAGCAACAGGAAGCAAGGTCTTTGGGTTGTCTTCCATTCTCCATGTCAGGGTCCCCCTGCTTCCTGGGCTTGGGTTGAACTTGCTACCAAGGGGGAATCCATTTACTCACTCCTTCACCCGAAAAAACACAAACCAAATAGCCTCTCTCAAGGGAAGTTAGAAAACCAGGATCCCAGACACCATTGTCATCCTTCCACCAGGTCTTCTCTGGATCGGCTTTCTCTGTAAGACTAGGAATGTATTTATTTATCTGCCCTAATTATGTTAGAACTTTTTGGAAGGGAGAAAAATATTAGAGTTAATAAAGCTAAATGAAGTTTGTCATTCACAGAATCACCTTTTCTCTCCCCCTTCTGTTTTAATAATTGAGATTTTAGAGTGCTGGCCCTGAGGGTTATAAGGGATGCCTGTTACATGACAAATATCCTAGTCTTGACAAAAACTGTGAAACCGTTTGCTGGTATAAGTGGGGCCATTATCCATTTTCAGACGCATTGGAGTGTCCATCACAGCGAAACAGAACAGTAAATGGCTGATGACATGGTTGGTGGTTTCACCAGTCCTTGCTGACCCCCATAAAAATCCTGAGAAAGTACCTATAGTAATATGTGCAGCTCCTAGGTGTCCAAATGAGGGTATGTGAGTGACGTCCATTTGCCAGGGTGCATTTGACTGATGTCCACATGGATTAACTCCGTCAGGTCCCTCCCTGAGTGAGGTTTGCTGACAGTGAGTGGATTCCCTCACAATTTGTCTGGCTTGGGTCCGTCCACATTAGATGATACCTTTGTCTTAGATTAGCGATGTTGTTCTGTAGGCTTTGATGCTTAGCTTTTGGGAGTGTAAGAGTAGCAAATGCCTTTTGAGTTATTTTGTCTGCTTTAGCATTTCACATAGGAATGACCCTGGCAACTGGGTGTGCACCTGATGAAGAACGGGTGGAGGCGAGACCCTATTTGAGTTTGTAAGGTGAAGCATAACTTACCAAATGTCAGAGTGTGGATCTGACTTCAGTTTCACTGTTTCAATGAAAGAACACACTTGTATATGCTGAATCACTGATTATATTGATAGGCTGCTTTACATCTTTTAATAATAGAACAAACGCGAATATTTCTGTTTTCTGAGTGGAGATGTAACAAGTTTGAAAGGATTGAGGGGATGCCTTCAAGAGTATAGCAAGCAGCACCTTAAAATTGGCATTATTGTGGGGGGACATTGTGGGGAATAACTTTTACTTAGGAGAATGTGACTGGACACATTTCCACTCCATGAATGTGAAAGCATCCCTCCATGAGAATCCTGGCCTCCAAGGCTTCTTAAATATGAGCGTTAGAGAGTTTGTCCCCATACACTCTCTTTCCGGTTCTTGGTTTCGCACAACAGCCATTATTACAAACTAGAAACTTGGAAGCATTCTTTTTTAAAACTTAATTTCATTGCTTATCAGATTTATCTCTTTTCTTTTTAAGTTTCCTTTTAAAACTTTTAATTGTGGTTTAGGTAAAGGTTTATAAAGCAGATCATAAGTTTTACATTTAATATTGTATACACATTTTTTCAACTCATCTATTCCAATCCCCTCAATGCACTAATGTCTTGAAATACGTACAGCTAGAATGCTCCCTAGAGGCAAGGATGGAGAGACTTGGTCTCACGTACTTTAAGTATGTTTTCAGGAGACCAGTCCCTGGCGAATGACATCATGCCTGGTGACGTGAGGGGGCGGCGGAAAAGAGAAGGCCCTTGACTAGATGGATTGACACAGTGAGCTCAAACATAAAAACAATTGTGAGGATGATGCAAGATGAGGCGGTATTTATTTCTCTTGTATATCGGGTCGCTAGGAGTCAGAACCGACACAGCAGCACCTGACAACAACAATGTACCATTGCTTTCCGCCCTTCCTGCAATTGTGTTTTCTGTTTCCATTCCTCCTCGGTTCCTAACCCTCATGTATGTTAGATAAATGCTGTTTGATGCCTCTCTCCCCCTTGTTCCCTATACCCAGTCTGCCTCCAGGAGGCTCAAGGGGAGTGATTATCTAAAAGACTACCACTTGGTCCCTCCTCAACTGGCACTGCCATGGCTTTACTTCAGTCCTTGATTATTGCAGCTGCCTCTTCATTGGTCTTCTTACTGCTGATTTTTCCCCAGTTCATTGACATCTGACCCCCAGAATGATCTTCAAAAGCTTAAATCTATATTCAGGTTACCCTCAGACTCTCTTTACTTAAACCGAGTTTGTAGTCTGCCTGCCTCAAACTACATCCGACTGCATTCCATGAAATCCATATGGTGTTTGCATGGGGGATGCAAACGCTTATAGTTTGTTGATTCGAAGTTGCACGGGGTTTTTTTTCCTTCTTCATTTTAACATCTCTGAAATTGAGCCATGCCTTAAAATTGATGGAGTGTTGCAGTTTGATTTTTAATGATTTTCTTTACTGGTACACCAAATGATGTGTCTTATAACCAATGACATCTTAAGCTTGCTAAAATATACTCACTGCTGACATTTTAAAATGCGGAGATTTTATATAAAAATCTTTTCAACTTTTCTTGAAAAATTTCATCTGGCAGCAGGGCCAGGATTTTTGGATGCCAGCCCTAAGATGGAGCTGCCGGTAAGTAGCAGCTGCCTCATTTAAGCAAAAGCTCTCTAGCGTGTCCCGTAGTTTCCACCCAAGATAGTTCATTTGTTTATATGGTCTGCCTCATCTCAGAGCAGCATTTGAATGTACAGTCCCCTGGCTAACCTAGGCATAAGTGCAAATTCTTTGTTATCAAGTATAAGAACGACCACAATCTGCACCAACCCATCTGCTCAGATTTTCATCTCCATCTTCCATCCTTCATTTCCTATACCTTCTGTCCTCCAGTCTTATGAAACATCACTCAAATAGATCATGATCTCTCAGGTTTTCTCCTGTTCCCTAGAATGCCTTTCCTCACCTTGGATGGTCCAGGAGACATTTCCTTATGCCCAAAGCTAGAGCTCATTTCCTTCTGGGAAATCAAGAGTCAAGAGAGCATATTTCCCTACTTCCTCCTACTCCACTGCAATTCTGTGTACTTGCCTGTGTCCCTCACTACACTGTGAACTTGGTAGGGGACTGAACCTATGAATCTAATCATCCGTGTATGCCCACCTCATCATTGGTACTTGCTCAGTAAGTATCTGTTGAGTAAAGAAAGCTGGCATAAGATGTACTTCCCAATGGTGATCTCTATGTTTTAATTTTCTTTTGGGCCCGTGTACAGTAAACGACATGGGTGACCATATCTGACCTCCCCAGGCTTCTGTATTGCTGAGAGGCAGGGGTCAGACAGGCCTCCAGGCTCGATCTTTCTTTACTTGTTCTGACACCAACCGTTCCTCCCATGGCACTCTACATTTCTGCTAGATGCAATAATTCATTGCAATGGCCACACAGAACTCATACTCACAATTATAGGATTTTATTAGAATTTTTAGGTTACCACAAGTCAAGACCAGTAAACAGTAAGGATACAGTCACTGGTCCACAGTAACACCTCTCCTCAACTAGCAGCCAAGTCTCTCTCTGGTCCTCAGCCTCTCAGGCACATGGATTCTTGGCCTCTGCTTTTCTGGACCAGCCAAGCAGCCCACCTGCTGCTCTGTCTCACAGTCCCATAGTCTTATCGTTGTTCCTCTTGTTCTGTCCTATAGTCTCTGGTGCCTCTGGCCGTAGCCTCTGCCACTTCAGACAGAAATATGGAATGTGCTCTTTCAATGGTCCTGGGTGGGGTGGTAATGAAAACTGACAAGTCTCCCTCTCTTAGTGTTACACTATTTGCCTTATCATTTGGTGGATGTTATGGAGACAGTGGTAGAAGAACTATATTAAGAAATTTCACTCCACCTTATTACAGATAGGTAGCAATAAAACTAAAAAGAAGTCAGAGAGAAGAATACCCCCACCCCACCCCCACCCCCGCTTAGTGCTCTTGATTTGTAGCAAGATTTTGCTTCTAGCTGCCATCTAGGAGAACTCTTGTCCATCATGGCCAACCTGTAGATCCAATGGCACCAAACCATTGTCAACGTTGTGACGCATGATTGTTTCCCCCCTTTAGCATGCATCATGCAGTCAAGGGGGACTTTCTTGTTGCCACTGTGTAGTCTTGTGCATTTGAACACAGAGATGCGTATAAACAGCACCACAATCGGGATACAGAACACTGCCTTTATTAAATCACAACTGGGGCAAACACCATTTTTTGATCCAAGGTGTAGCCTTTTCACAGCTAAACTTGTAAACCTAAGCACATGCCAGCTGTTTCCGTCTGCTATGGTGGATGCCGACAAGGTGAACGTCCCAGGCTATTGGTGCTGACCCCTTCATGCTTGTCTTCTCTCTGCCAGGGACTCCAACCCACCCTTCATCTTTTTGGAATGACTTACTAATCTCGCAATAACACCTGTAAGTATACTTGATCCTTTGTTTTTATTTTAATTTCAAATCTGAATGCATTCTTTTCTTTGCTTCAAAAGGGAACAAACACGCCTTTAAATTCGGATATTTCCAATTGATTTGATCAGAAATCCCTTGTAGTAAAAGCCTTTTGGAGAATGAATGAACCCTCAAGCCAGGTAGATTTCTTCATTTACAAGGACTACTACTGAACTACTACTAAATAATTTTCACATTATTAAACAAAGGTGAAAATAGAAAAATTTCTAAAAGAATATGAGAAGTAGAAAAAAAGACAAGCTCTAATAGTGTGCTTTCTATTCTCTAACAAATTGTCTGTTTCTGCCCTGGGGCAGGTAGCCCAGCGTGGAGACTTACTGAGAAGCTACCACTGAGGTATGATTGATTCCAGCCCCAGAAGGCTAGCTAAGCATTGCCAGAACTGCTTTCCCTGTTTGGTGTCACCAGGCGTTAACATACCAAAGACAGACACCTAAAGTGCTCAACACTGAACCGATGTGTCCATACCAGGGTGTTTTTTTTGTCTATTCCCAACTTAAGCTGCTTTGCCTAGGTTCTAGCATATTTCTCAGTATGTGTTGTGACCAATATGAGCTGTCAGTTAGAATTGCTTTTCCTTGGCAGAAATTGGGATAGTAGCCAGCTCCTGGAAGCTGGTGAAATAGGAAATGTTTGACTGCAATGTCTCCACTCTCCCTTCTGAGGTAACCAGGGCTCTCCATCTCATTTGTCTATAAGGCCCTACTACCTATTACCAGAGCCTCCCCACGTGTTTTCGTTTAGGCTACCTCCGAAGCAGGTAGCATTTGAGAGCAATACATTTCTTTGGAAGATGTAGGCAAAAACCAGTACGGTGGTGTGAAAGCAAGAACAGAAGAGGGAGTATGCAATAAAAAGTCAGTCCAGCCTGCCTAGGTGGAAGGAACCATTTTCAATGATATCAGACAGATCCTTTTTTTCTTCGGTGTTATACATCTCGTAGCATTATAGCTAGAATTATAATTGATTATGATTTTTTATTTCATCTCTCCTGTTTTACATCCTTGTTAAGTATTGTAAAACATGCACACCAGTGAGAACACCCTCTTTTCCCTCCCCACTCTTTTCTTCTGACTAACTCCTGCTCCAGCTTCAGATCTCAGTTTAGGTGTTCTATGGTCTCAGAAGCCATGTTAGTCTGGGTACATTAGAAAAACAAATCCACAGAAACTCATGTATAAGAGAGGGTTTTATATAAAGGTTAAGTGCACATCAGAAAACACCCCAACCCAGTGCTGCCCAAGCCCACAAGTCCAACATTAACCCATTAACCCATATGTCCAACACCAATCCACAAAGTCCTCCTCCATCTCACAAAACATACACTATGATGCCGACTGCAGGAGCAAAGCTGAATCAGTGAATGTGTAAGCATCTCAGCGCTGGCAGGGGTCTCCACACGGCTGCTCCAGCATCCAGGGCTGCATCGGGGTAGGTCCATGTGGCTTCTCCTTGTAGGAAGTCAGCCTTGCAAGCTGGAGCAGGGAACTGCTAAGGCAGGCAGCTGCACCCTGGTGCGACCATCACAAAGCAAGAGACCTGAGAACTAGAAAGGCGAGGCTCACTGAGCCATTTATCCCTCCGCCCTTCAATTAACCCCACGTGTGTTTATTGGCCAGGTTGGCACAATCAACTAACGACCTCAGAAGTCTTCTCTGTTTCCTTCCTGCTTTCAGGCCTCTTTTTTTGTGCTCCTGTAATATCCTCTATCTGTCCTTTACAGTGGTCACTAATTCATGTAATAACTACCTATTGATTAAGCCCGTGGGCCTGGCACTCTGTTAATAGGTTTCTGGAGTTTCTTCTAAAACTGGAGACAGGAAAGTAGCACAGGATCAAGTGAGTGAATATATTGTATAAAGTCAAGTAGGGAAAAGAGCTACAAAGAAAGCTTTCTAATTGCCAGTCAATTGGTGACCCCCAAGAGTGTCAGAGTAGAACTAGCTGGTTTCCAGTGAGTGACTTTTCAGAAGTACAGTGCCAGGTCTTTTTTCCAAGGTGCCTTTAAGTAGACTCAAAATTTCAAAATGATTATTTAGCAGCTGAATGTGTTAACCATTTGTACCACCCGGGAACTCCACAAAGAAGATGAAATAAAGCAGGACAAAAGGAGAGACAGTGATAAGAATACTGTCATGGGGGAGTGTGGGGAGGCAGTCAAGGAATGCTTGTCTGAGAAAATGAGATTTTGAACAGAGACCTAATTGTGCTTGGCTGGAAGAAGAGACTGGGAGTGCAAGAGTCCTGAAATTGGCGGGTACCCACCACACAGACATGTATTGCTTGCCTGTATGTTTACCCCAGTTACCCATATCGATCTTGTTCACCATTTGTGCCAGGAGGTCCTCAATGAGCGTTTGTTGAATTGAATGGAGGAGAAGCATCTGTGTCAAGGATGGTTTGGTATTGCCAGGGCCTTTTCTGGAGGACGTTGAGCTCCTATTTGGTTGTTTCCATGTGATGATGTGCCAATTGAGAGACCTAATCATGCTCAGTCTCAGTGCTACGGGTATAAATATCTGTTAATGAGTAGGTTTAGAACTGCTAGCATTAATTTGTTATTCTTTTTTGTTGTTATTTTCAGGTTGGGGGAACACATCCCCACTCAGCCTGAGGAAAACCAGAGTGTGTTTGAGGAAAGGCAGGTACCTTCAATTTGCAAACTTATGATGCTGATGGAAGCAGTGAAGTGTCATTGTAATACGCAGGGGTTCTAGGCTCAATGTGCCTGAGTTCAAATCCCAGCTCTGCCATCCTTTTGCTGTTTGTCTTTGGAATGGAAAATTTCAGTGCCAGTTTCCTCAATGGGGCTCATCATAGTAGATGTGTTGTGTGGGCTCAATGGGGCTGATCATAGGGTGTTGTGTGCGTTGAATCAGGTTAGCACAAGTAGAGATTAGCAAGTGCCTAAATCACAAGAAATGCTCATAGAATGTTAGTATAATTAATGTTATTTATTCACACATGTCAATGCTGGCTCCTTTAACACTGGGAGACTGACTTTCGAATTCCTGGTGGTGTGCAATGTAAGCATTCAGTGTTCTCTGTACAGTGGAAAAAACTGTTGAAATTAGTTGCTTTTAAGCAAAATTGAAGCTTTACACAAATTACGTTAAAAGCTCAGCCAACCCATTTCCTGATCCAGAGGCTGGCTGTTAAAATAATGAGCTAAGTTGCTTCTCTTCTTTCCTGTCCTCCTGCAATTAAACGAGAATTTGGTGAATACCCCTGAGGCCTTAGGTGCTATGATGCCCAGAGAAATGAAATGGGTAGTCCCCTTCAGGATTTCAAATGTAAAAGGACAAATTGGACTCCATTTTGAGAAGCCCTGTAATTGGACATGCATGTGGCTTTGCGAACCCACGAGACAGAGTGACTAACCCACCTTTAGTGATTGAGGAAAAACTTCTCAGAGGAGGTAACATTGGAACAACTATGCTGAGATCAAAGCAGCCTGTGATCACTGAGGCTGAGAAGCCCAATCATGGGGCCATGGTGGCAACTTTTTGCCAGGGTACTTATGTCATTGCCAGCTCTAGTCTTAGAGTCCCCACCATGGAAACCTGTACAGGTTATACTGCCTCCTAATGAAGCCTTCGAATGATAATTTAATATGCTAATAGGATGCAGAACCCCAAAGCTGCCTTTCCAGTTATTTTTAAAGCAACTCCATTAGATTAAGCAGAAAGACAGGTAACCACTTTATAGATCACCTGTGGCTCTCAACTCTATAAAGGAGTTGGGCTATGGAGCAGCTTGGATAGGGTTTTGAAATGATTATGGCTGGCCTCCATGAGGAACTCTGATGGTGTAGTCATCAGCAGTTTGAAGCCACCAACCACTCTGTGGGAGAAAGACAGGGCTTTCTACTCTCGTAAAGAGTTCCAATCTCAGAAACTCATAGGGGCAGTTCTGCCCTGTCCCATAGGGTCCGTATGAGTTGGCATAGACTCAATGGCTGTGAGTGAGTCTTACTTTAAATGCTAGCTCCTGATGTTGAAGGACTAAACTCCAAATCAAACTCACTGCCATTGAGTGAATTTCAACTCATATCCCTGGTGACGTACTGGTTACATACTGGTTTCAGAAATGTACAGGGGCCTAGATAGGGTCACTATATGCCCCCTAAAAAACAAACTCACTACCTTTGAGTCAATGCCGATTCATATTGACCTTATGAGACAGGGTAGAACTCCTGCGGGTTTTCAAGGCTGTAACTCTTTACAGAGGTAGAAAGCCCTGTCTTTCTCCTGTGGAAAAACTGGTGGTTCTGAATTGCTGACCATGCAGATTGCAGCCCATGAGTAACCACTATGCTACCTTTTAGGGCCACTATCAGTGCAGCTAAACCACCATGAATTTGTTACCAGTGCAGTTTGGGAATTACATTCAGCCCTGGAAGAACCAAGATGGCAGCATCTGTCCATCGCTAACAGTCCCACGCCTACTTCTCCACTGTATCTTCCTCCTCTTCCTTCTCAAACTCCCACCAGACTCCTAGGTTCACTTTTCACTTTCCATTCTGCTGAGGAGTGAATTGCAACTCCGCATCCCTGAAGCTTCTCTGTGGGGTTGCGTTGAGTTGGAGTTGACTTGATGGTAATGGATTTGGTCTGTTTGTTTTTGCCTATTTCAAACAAACCTAATGGTGATTTTTGGAGAAACCGTGCAATCACTTGAGTGGGAGCTAAAAGGTAAGGGAAAAGATACTAATTAAGATGGTCCTTTGATAAACCCTTCTAGTCTCTTCATGGAGCTCTTCTCAAACCCCACTATACAACCTCCTGTTCAGAAATATTTCTTTAGCTCCCTTGGCTTCTCGTTATCTCAGAGGACCACAAGGTTTCCATCTTGCATCTGAAGGAATGGAAAGAGAATGCCTTGCCATATCTATGAATGCTCCTTAGTCTTCTACATGTGCATATTGATCCGATTGGATCCTGAAACCGAGGCCTAGCTGGGGTTTTTTTTCTTAATTCATTTTATTGGGGGCTCATACAACTCATAACAATCCATACATAATCCATTGTGTCAAGCACATTTGTACATTTGTTGCCATCATCTTTCTCAAAACATTTTGTTTCTACTTGAGCCCTTGGTATCAGCTCATCATTTTTTTCCCTCCCTCCCCCCCCCTCCATCAGGAACCCTTGACAATTATAAATTATTATTTTTTCAGGTCTTACACTGTCTGATGTCTCCCTTCACCCACTTCTTTGTTATCCATCCCCCAGGGAGGGGGTTATATGTAGATCATTGTGATCGGTTCTCCCTTTCTCCCCCACTTTCCCCTTACCCTCCTGGTATGGCTACTCTCATTATTGGCCCTGAGGAGTTTATCTGTCCTGGATTCCCTGTGTTTCTAGCTGGTGTTTTAATTGACATTTTTGTTCATCACTGATTTGGCAGATTGGGTCTTCTGTTCTGCCACTAACGAGTTATCACTGAATATGATATTAAATTTCTAAGTCCCAGTTTCTCATCTTTACTATGGGATTGGATGATACCTCCTTGAAGGTTTGTTGTGAAGATTCACTGAAATCATAGAAATCTAAAGCACCTACTGTGCTGGGTAAATGGCAGCAGTAGTGATTTTAGTGGTTTTTGTTATTACTACTTACAGAGCATCCTTCCAGATTATAGAGCTCTCTGGGGGAAAAGAGATCATGATTTTGTAAATCTTCAATTATTCCAGAATCAGTAGATACCCATGGGGTTCAGTCTCTGGAGACTTCATATAAAGCTTTCTAAAGAAAGACATTTGAATAAACACAAATTTCATTTCAACACTTCTACCACAGTGGGTACTCACCTGTGCACAATCCCTCCCAACTCATCAGCTAAGAATGGTTCTTTGCTCAAGCCAATTTTTTCAACCACTGAGTTCCTTATTTCAGTATAATTGAGTCTATAAGGCACACATTTCTGTTGATTTCTTCACAAGGAAACTGATATGTAAAGCAAATCATGATGAGCTGAGCAGAAGTCAAACCTCCATCTGTGTGATTTCTAAGCCCAAGCCTCCCTGGGACCAGCATTAGGCAGTTAGGAGCAATAGATAGTCCTGAGATGCTTCACCTAAGCAAGGTCCCCTGCTAAGTCATTTATGAAACAGTGACTAGCTGTTTTTCAGAGAGTCACAATGTATATCCTTTTATTGAAGGCTCTGAAGAGTCTTATAGTAAAGAAATTGGTTTAATCCTTACCTCGTCTGAATTTCTTTTTAAAAAATCATTTTATTGGGCTCATATAACTCTTATCACAATCCAATTGTGTAAAGCGCACGTATACATTTGTTGCCCTCATCATTCTTAAAATTCGCTTTCCGCTTGGGTTCCTAGAATCAGCTCCTCATTTTCCTTTTTCCCCTTCCCCTCCTTTCCTGTTCCCCCTCCCTCATGAACCCTTAATAATTTATAAATTATTATTTTATCTTATCTTACACTGCCTGGCATCTCCCTTCACCCACCCTTCTGTTGCCCATCCCCCAGAGAGGAGGTTATATGTAGATCCTTGTGATTGGGGAATCAATCGACCATTTTGACGTTGCATGTAGAATCATAAAGCTCATAGAACTCTTCTTCCACAAACACTTTGGAAAACCTGGCACCAACCCAAGCTGCCTCCTAATTACAATGATTTCTGGTGTAACAATTGGTGATCACTTAGACACCTTCTGACACGCAGTGTAGTTTGCTCCTTTCCTTGATCCCATGAGGCGCAGGAAGAGCCACCAGTTCAGTGTTACAGGCCTTCCCTTATTCATGTCAGACCCTAGGCATAAGCAAATGCTACAGTGGTCTCCTGGAAAGATAGTAGGAAGTGATCGGAAAAGGGCCCCTGTACCCCACTTGGGGCCTCTTCATTCTATAAAGATCATACTGATCATCAACCCCGATTTCAGGTTTAGACATGAATACCACAGAATGCTGCAGAGAAGCCACCAATCAAGCGGAGGAATTAGACCTGTATATCTCTGTCTACTTCCTGCTTTGTAGGGTGGTTGTGGTGGTGGTTTGGGGAGGATGTGGTACTAACTGAATGATTATATATTCTGAATTTGGGTTCCTTAGGGCCAGAGCTAAAGCAGGACTTTTTTTACATAAGCTAACATCTCCAGGAAAAGCTGAGTTTTTAGCATCCGGAACTGTACAGACTTCACATCTAAAATGCCAGAGGAAGAATCAAGGGGGGGAGGATGAGTCAAGGTGTGGGAGTTGGGTAGAGATGCACTTAGAAATAAAATAAAGTTAATGAATAAGAACAACTTAGGGAGGCTCAGCAGGCATTTAGCGGGCACTTGGCGGTGACAGAGGTTGGGCTGGCGGGAAGGACCATCTTTTGTTCTTTCTTTATAGGAAAGGAAAAGTGACTAGGATTAAAAGAACCAAAGAACATCAAAGTGTGCCACCCTCCATTTCTTCCCCCACAGGCACACGATAAAAACCTTTTAGCTTAAGCCGTTCCTTTTGCAGATTAGAAGTGAGTGCCAATGGTGAGTCAATATTTTATGTTTATGTTTTGAAACCACCCATGGTGTATATTGGTAGGAACAGCAGCACGGGGCAAGTTTGAAAGCTGTTTGGTTTCAAGATTCACCCCAGTGGCACACACCACTGACCCCAGTATCATTGGGTCTTGGTGAACTGCACTTAAACGCCAGGCTTCCTGAGAACCCCGCCCCCTGTTAAACCTGAGGGAATAATTTCTTTAGAGACCTCTCTAGTGCATGCACTAAGTGCTTATCCAACATTTACCAAGAGAGAGGAATGGAAGAAGCTTAAGAGTCTATCCAATAATGGAAAATCCCCAAATCATTTTGAATAGCTTTTCAGCATCGTCAGAAATGCCCCCGAAGGCACATATACTGCTTCAAAACGTGCTTCCTGCTCTGCCTTACAGTGGGTGGTTGCCACCTAGGTTGGGCAATGTGTGGGAGGGGTAAGTGGTACCTTGCCTTAACCAGCTCATGTTTGGGTGAGAATTAAAGTGAGAGGACTCTTAAAAAATTTTTTAAGTGTTACCTGAGATAAAACAGTTGAAAAATAATTTATTTAATCATAAAGAGTCTAATAGCAAAAAAATATTCTAATACACTAAAATTCTAGAACAGTGATCATTTCTTCTAATCATGATTTAAATTTTCTTTCAAAATGGAACTATAAGCATGGCCTTATTTTTTTTCTACTAAAGACTTTTCTTTAAAAAAGATATATAAACCAATAGAATACATCTATGCAGAAAATTATGGCCCAATAATAAATCTTTGTTAATTTTTTAAAATTATTTTTTTAAGAACTCTGACTTAGAAATATCCACTCACTGTTAGGTAATCTTTGGGCAGCTAGCTGAAAGGAGTTCGGTTCAGACCCACCAGCAGTGCCATGAGAGAAAGATAAAGCTCTCTGCTTCTGTAAAGATTTGCAGCCTAGGAAATGAAATGAGGGTTCCAATGAGTTGGTTTGGAGTGTGGGTTGTGAGTCGGAATTGACTCGATGGCAGTAGGTTAGGATTTGATTTATGTGAGAAGCACTAGGTGTCAGAGATTCAAGGAACATAAAGAAAGAACTATCCCCATGCAATTTACCATCTAGCAGAAATATATTCTGGTTTAATGCTTTTTGATTTCTAAGTAAATCTTTTATGTGGATTTTTATTTGTTGTGTAATTAATTAACTGAACAAATAACTCAGGAATGATACTGCTTTTTTTTTTCCGGGGGAAAAATTGAAACTGAAATGCATGACATCATACTGTTGACTCAGTGTTTGTTGCCAACCCAATGCCGAGCTCTTACATATTCATAAAAAGAAGTAGAAGAAATATCACAAACTTGGGGCAAAGCCCACAGGCGAGCCTGATTTACTGCCTTTCAAGTGGATTCCCTATAGAAACAGGCGAACTGCCCCTTGGGTTTTTCAAGGCTGTAAATCTATGGAGAAGTAGACCGCCACACCTTTCTCCCAGAGTGGTGGGTAGGTTAAAGTTACTGATCCATTGTGCCACCAAAGCTCCTTGTTGGAGAGCAGTGCTTCTCAAACTGAGATATGAGAGCTCTGTGTGTCTAAGTACTCTGAAGGGTGCGCTTTAAATGCAGATTTGAAGGCCGTAGGCCTTGTAGGCCTTTAGAATCCAAGTTATTGGAGGTAAAGCCTGGAAGTCTGCAATTTTTAAAACACACTGTCCTGATAAATCTTGGGAGTCCTTAGATTTGAAAGCACTGATCTAGGCACTTTGCAAATGTCACCAGGACTAGATGAATCACTGGAAAGTGTGATGAAGGACCCAGCATATGTGTTCTCATAGACAATGCAGGGCATCTTTAAGACATTTTTGAGTGTGGACAAAAGGTAAGAGATGGGGAAATAGTGGTCCAGTTTCAGAAAGGAGAAAAGAGTTGGCAATATCTTTAATGGATTGTCTGTGAATCATTGCAACCTCATTTAAGGCTAATTTAATAATAAAACTTTTCTTAAAAGAGAGAGTAGATACCAAAAGCTATAGAATCGTAAGTCTAACATGACCTCTGGAAAAATTCTGTTTCAAGCAGATGGAGTCAAAGCATTTAGAGGTGAATATGATGATCACTGGCAGGAACGGATTGCCTTGCTAACTGGGGACTCTGTCCCTGGCAGCAATGCTACATTTGAGAACAGGCTTTGATTCTGTAGGAAGGTGCTATGGGGTTGGGAGAGAGGCAGATGCCAACCAGACCTAGAAGCAGAATCTTGGATATGATGAAAAAATATGAACTTGTCCATTACAGATTAGTAAGTAAGCAAAGGAAGCCTGTGTTTATCTTGCTTATTGGGTAATCCAACTGATTCTACTGGGCATCATCATGGGCCCACTAAAACTGCATATCAGAGATTGCTGCATATTAAAATCATCTAGGGGAACTTTTACAAAGCTTAATGCCCAAACTCAACCTCATACATGAGCATTTCTGGAGATGGGGCCTTGGGTATTAATATTTTTTACTACCATCCCCCACACCGCCCTCAAAAATCTGATTAAATGGAGTTCAATCTGGGCATTAGGATATTTTAAAAGTTCCTCAGATAATTCCAACAAAATTTGACAGCCTCTGGTTCTATATGACATTAGACAAGTTACTGACCTTTCTGGGTCATTTTAAAGATCCTTACAGCATATAACTTGCTGATGAAAACCAAACACTGCAACTAAATGTAAAGAAAGCCAAAATCCTCACAAGTGGATCAATAGGCAACAGCATGCTAAATGAAGGGAAAGACTTAAATTATGAAGATTTCATTTTAAGAACTCAGATTGCATTGGGCAAATCTGCTGCACAAGACCTCTTTAAAGTGTACAGCAGTAAGTATGTTACTTTGAAGACTAAGGTGCACCTTACCAAAGCCATGGTATTTCCAATCACCTCTTATGCATGTGAAAATTGGACAATGAATAAAGAAGACCAAATAAGTGATGCATTTGAATTATGGTGTTGGTGAAGAATATTGACAATACTGTGGACTGCCAGAAGAATGAACAAATCTGTCTCGGAGGAAGCACATCCAAACTGCTCCTTAGAAGTGAGGATGTGATCCTTTCAACACCTCGTGGTCACACAGGCTGGTGTGCTTCTTCCATGTGGGCTTTGTTGCTTCTGAGCTAGATGGCGGTTTGTTTATCTTCAAGCCCAGACGCTATATCTTTTGATTGCTGGGCACCAGGTTGTGGGGAGGAGACGAGCCAGAGTCAGGGTGCAGGGTATCATCGATGAAACATACAACTTCCTGCTAGTTCTTAAATGCTTCCTCCCCCCACTATCATGATCCCAGTTCTACCCTACAAATCTGGCTAGACCAGAGGATGTACATTGGTACAGATAGGAACTGGAAACACAGGGAATCCAGGACGGATGATCCCTTCAGGACCAGTGGTGAGGATGGTGATACCGGGAGGATGGAAGGAAGGTGGGGTAGAAAGGGGGAACCGATTATAAGGATCTACATATCACCTCCTCCCTGGGGGGTGGACAACAGAAAAGTGGGTGAAGGGAGATGTCAGACAGTGTAAGATATGACCAAATAATAATTTACAAATTATCAAGGGTTCATGAGGGAGGGGGGAATGGGAGAGAGGGGGGAAATGAGGAGCTAATATCAAGGGCTCAAGTAGAAAGAAAATGTTTTGAGAATGATGATGGCAATAAATGTACAACTGTGCTTGACAATGGATGGATGTATTGTGATAAGAACTGTACAAGCCCCCAATAAAATGATTTTAAAAAAAGTGAGGATGTGGAATCATCCTCTCAATATACTTTTGACACTTTATCAGGAGAGGCTAGTTCTTGGAAAAAGATAGCACGCTTGGTAAAATAGAGGGTTAGTGAAAAAGAGTAGTACCCTCCATGAGCTGCATTGACACAGTAGCTTCGATGAGGGGCTCAAACACAGCAATCGTGAGAATGTCTCGAGGCCAGGCAGTGTGTGGTTCCATTGTACATAGGATCTCTGAGTCGGAACCGACTTGGTGGCACCGAACAACAACTGCTTGTAAATGTCTGTGATTCTGTCCTTGAAAATTATGCCAAACTGTGTTACCTAGTCAAGTTGTTATTTTATTAAATGTTTTCTAGCCTTAGTTGGAATGCCAAGGTGTCAAATCATCTATCTTAATTTCATCACAATATTTAGAGTACAGTTTCCCAGAACGTCCTTATACATAAATAAGAGTATGGCTGTGCTGAGTGAATTTACCACCTAACTGAACAAATATGCTTTGAGGGAGATGGTCTCCAGTGCAAACCCACAAGGCTTATTCAACTCTTGACTTGACCTTGTTAACCTTTTGCTCCAAAACTTAAATAAGGAACACAAGAAAGAAATGCCTATCATATTTAGAAATAGCTCAAAGTTTAGGTGACTTAATTAATTCAATACATAAAAGAATCAGGCTCAGCTCTGTTTAGAAAAAAAGTCTATTAAGATAATTATGCCACTCTGCGCCCGCATTTGAACCCGCTCGGTACTCGGCCTGCTCAGCTGGCCGCTCCGCAGCCGCTCCCTGGAGTTGGATGCAGACGTTCTCCGCCTGCTGCAGCCATGTCCTTAGCTGCCGCCACCACGGCCGTGAAGATTGGAATAATTGGTGGGACCGGCCTGGATGACCCAGAGATTTTAGGAGGAAGAACCGAAAAATATGTGGATACACCATTTGGCAAGCCATCCGATGCCTTAATTTTGGGGAAGATAAAGAGCGTTGATTGTGCCCTTCTTGCAAGGCACGGGAGGCAGCACAGCTTTGTGCCTTCCAAAGTCAACTACCAGGCAAACATCTGGGCTCTGAAGGAGGAGGGTTGTACCCATGTCATCGTGACCACAGCCTGCAGCTCCCTGAGAGAGGAAATCCAGCCCGGTGACGTCGTCGTCATCGATCAATTCATCTACAGGACCACCACGAGGCCTCAGACCTTCTATAATGGGAGCCATTCCTGTGCCCGAGGAGTGTGCCATATTCCAATGGCAGAGCCATTCTGCCCCAAGACCAGAGAAGTCCTCATGGAAACTGCCAAGAAGGTAGGACTCCGATGTCACTCGAAGGGGACAGTGGTCACAATCGAGGGCCCCGGTTTAGCTCCCGAGCTGAAAGCTTCATGTTCCGTACCTGGGGGACAGATGTGATCAACATGATCACAGTTCCAGAGGTGGTTCTTGCGAAAGAGGCTGGGATTTGCTATGCCAGTATCGCCATGGCAACCGATTACAATTGCTGGAAGGAACACGAGGAAGCAGTTTCCGTGGACAGGGTCTTAAAGACCCTGAAAGAAAATGCCAACAAAGCCAAGAGTTTACTCCTCACCGCCATACTGCAGCTCGGGTCCATGGAATGGTCGGAAATACTCCGGAACCTGAAGAATACAGCCCAGTTCTCCGTTTTATTGCCAAGACGTGGAAATGGTGTCCTGCCCAGAAGAAAAGATGACTCTCTCATTCTACTCACTTTGGGAATTCCTGCTGAACTTAAAAGAAAATGGAAGACATGCCGTTTCCATGGCCTTCCTGCTTAGAAAACGTGAGAAGAGAAGAAATTGCACATTTAGAGATTTCTCATAGAAGACTTAGGATGCTTCTTAAAACAAGAAAAATAAATGACATGCAGAAAAAAAGAATCTGACATTTTAGGAAAAAACACCAAGAGGTGCCAGCCCCCCTCCCCTGTCAGATTAACAACAACAAAGGAGGGGAGTGAGTTTGAGGGGTAACACCCAGTTTTCCATGTTGCTAAGCCTGGAAAGACGCAGGTGGACTCTTGGGCTATTTCTTGATGTGGCTGTAAATTGGTACAAATTTCTGGAGAGAGAGAGCAGTTAGATAAAACATATCAAGATGCTTAAAAAATGTACTCTTTGAGCTGATAATTCGTAAGAATTTATCTTTTCCAAATTGTCAGTGATGCATAAGGGGAAATTTTTTTTGCAAAGAAGGATGTTCAATAGTTTTAAGTATAATAGTTCAAAAGCTGAACAAGCTGAATATTTAACAATTGAAGGTGAATGGTGGGCTAACTTTAATGAGGTTTCGAAGCAGCAAGGAGAGATCACATTTCCACGTAATATTTAATGTTCTGAAGAAAACATTCTGTTAATAGGACGTTTCAAAGAAAGGATACGTAAGCATTTACATTGCTAACTTTGCTTTTAAAATCTCTGTAACCATCCAAAATGACTAGAAAGAATTATAAACACTCTTTTATCCTGTTTAAAGGAGGGCCATTGGGTAATCTTTGTTTTCTTTATATTTTCCTGTATCTTCACCTTTTTCTACAATAAATGTAATCAAATAGTAAAGCTGTTTTAGAAATAAAAAAAAGATTATTATTATTTTAGAATATTTCCACAATTCATCAAGTTTGCTCATTTTCATTCTTCCTTTATTAAATGCTACAATGTTCTCCTGGAACAGGTTTGGTGAAAGGGGACTCTACCGTGAATCTAGCCCTGATCATCACAAGAAATGTTGAAGCGTTTAGTGTTAGAACTAATGGAAAAATAATGTTCAGGAGGGACTATTGTCAGTTCTCTGGCATTGTTCGTGTCAAGAAATACAAATATAAAAAAAACACAATAGTGTGCTGCATCGGGCTGGTTTAGTACATTGCAAATAAAAACCACCCCAAATAGCAACAAATCAGGATACTACTGAAAAGCATTTATTAAAAATTTGTGAGAAAACTGAGGAGCTGATACCAAGGGCTCAAGTAGAAAAAGAATGTTTTGAGAATGATGATGGCAACATATGTGCAAATGTTCTTGACACAATGGATGTGTATAAGTTGTTGTGATAAGTTGTAAGAGCTCCCAATAAAATGATTTTTTAAAAATTTGCTGGAAGCTAATGAAGCTATGGCTAACTCATCAGAAGGCCTTGTAGACTGTTGAAAGGCCTCGGAAAGGTCTGGAGAGCTGTCTACAAAGGATGCATTCACAGTTGATGATTCCTAAATTTGGGGTTAGCTCTTGAGATGTCATTGTTTTTAACAAGTGCCCTCCACTGATTCTGAGAAATATGGTTGATGAACTCACTTTGATTTGAATTTTGGCATAATTCTTTAAATGTATTGTTTTTGTTCCACAGTCTCTAGTTGGAGTTTTTAAAAGTTCAGATAGATTTAATTACCTTGAGCCTAAAACTTGTAGTTTTACATTAGGTCAGATTATAGATCTCCCAATTCCCTGCATTTCAATTAGAAAATTGCATGCTCTTCCATTTTCAATTTTTCTTCTAATTTTTAATGCTTCATTTTATACAAAGCTGGATGTGAGCTAGTCATGGGCATTGCAATTTCTGTGTAGCAAAGAAGCATCTATAGCTGCCCTGTCATTGCTTCAGACTAGATGATGATCACTTTGCACATCACTTAATGCACAGCAATTCAGAAGAAGCATGGAATGAGTACTGATGAGCAGCCCCTTAGATACCTTGTTGTTAACTGGAGATTTCCTTCCCTCCCTTATGTGTCTTCCTCATTAGTGTCTCTGACTGAAGTGGATCAACTAGGAGTGGCTCCTTGCAGCATAGAGGGAGGTACTCTTCAAATTGCCTCTGAAATCCGAACCTGAATGAATGAACACAGACCATTTTTGAAGACATGGGGTGTGGAAGTTCCATTGCCAAAAAACCCAGAGGATCTGATAAAGGTGCGTGCTGGGAACCAGGTGCCTGTGTCCAGGAATGAAAAGCCAGTTTTCTCCTCTCCCCCTCCCCATTCCTTGTTTATTCCCACTGTTCTTGAGCTGTCCTGTGTGACTTTGTACAAAGCATCACCACAGGAGGTTAAATTTTGGGGTGACATAAACAACCTTTATGACTGTGTAGCTTTGAATTTATGATGCACAAAAAGTATTATTTAAGAGATATTTTATGTTTTATTTTGTTTCATTTGAAAATGTACCAATATAAAACCTTCATTTCAAATCAGTGACAAAAGAAAAGAAAGAAAGACTAACTTTATAATTGTTTATTCAGGACTTTTATGAATAACTATATCCATGACTGTGACATTTATTAGTAGCATCATAGAATTTTTTTAGATTTTATAAGTCAATGGTCAAATTTATTTTATAACTATTCAATATAGAACTTCATGAGATTTGCTTGGTGTTTTAAAATATTCTAGATAGAGTTGGGAGACTATAGGGTTATATGTTTCAAAAAAAAAGGTATATTGCTTCTGACCCTCCCTCCCTCCCTCCAGTGTAATTAGAGGCTTAAATATTTACTCTGTGTTGGAGTTCTCATAGCTACTAGAATCCAGTTGAAGCTCACCTAGTGTTTAACAGACCTAATCTCCACAAGTAAATTAAAATTAAAAATAATAAATAAACTAAGATAATTATGTAAATCGTTCACTCTTAGACTCTGTCCTTTGTAATCTAAACTATTAATGATTTTTTACTATTTCTATTCTATATTTTGGCTTTGGAGGTTTACTCAGGCCTAAGGTAAAGCATTTAGGATGCAGAGTATTCTACACTAATTAGTGTGGGATGTTTCTGTTAGGGAATCAAATGTTGTTCTCCCTCCCAGCTGATTTGTGCTGGTAAGTTACCAAGCTATTTTCTCAAAGTACGGAAGTACTCCAGAGAAGCATCAACTCTTTTGAATTGGTAGCACATCATGAATTAAATCTTTCAAAAGTACCAGTTGAACAAATTCCATAGCAGTAATTTATGGGCAGGGAGCAAAGTGAATCATTATCTTTTCTTTTAAAGAATAATGTTTTTTTTTAATATCTAGGTTTAAGAAGGTATAGTGGTGACTACTAGCCGAAAGGTAGGTGGTTTGACACCACCAAGTCCCTCCTTGGGAAAAAGATGTGACAGTCTGCTTCTATAAAGCTTGCAGCCTTGGTTATGCTTTCTCCTCCAGGGTTCATATGATTCAGATTTGAAGACAACATTTTTGTTTGTCTGTTTTGTTTTGTTTTAATGGTAACTCTTGACAAGAAGGCACACACCAACATGGTAATTCTATATTTAACATGTTGAGGAACTTTCAAACTGTTTTCCCAAGTAGTGGTACCATTTTACATTTCTACCTGCTGTGCATGAGAGGTCCAATGTCTTCATATCCCCACCAACACTGGTTATTATCTGTTATTTTATTTTATTACTATAGCCATCCTAGTGGTTGTGAGGTGCAATATTGTAGTATTTTTTATTTGCATTTCCCTAATGACTAGGGATGAACATTTTTTTCTTGTGTTCATTGAACATATATCTTTGTAAAATTGTTCAAATTCTTAGACTACTTTTAATTGAGTTATCTATGCTTATATTAATGTGATGAAAGACATATATTTTGTATGCACCTCCCTAGTCAGATATATGGTCTGAATTCTACTACATTCGGTGGGTCTTTTCACTTATTTATATGGTTTCAAGTTACCACTTGGTGTGATTTTCTTACTCCAATAGAGCCTTGCTCACAATTACCTTCTTTGTGTTGTTATTCTCCAATGTATTACAGTCCTTTAAGTTGGCATCGACTTGATGGCAGTGAGTTTGGTTTAGGTTTTATATCTTATATGCCTAATGTTTCAGTTACACATATTTTGTTTTATACAATTGCTTTTTCATCAGTGCAGAGAAGAAAGGACAAGAAACATACATTTACATAATTGCATAGTTATCCTTGCTCATGTTATATCTAATTTTGGGGGGATTCATATTACTATTTGTGTCCATTTATTTTCAAGCTGAAGAATTTCCTTTAGTATATATTGTAAGGTAGGTCTGCTGACAAAAATTATATTTTGTTTTGTTTTAATTTGGTAAAGTCTTTATTTCTCTTAAATTTTTGAAAGATAGTTTTGCTAGATATAAGATAGATATAAGATTCTTGGTTGAGTTTTTTTTTTTCCTTTTGGCACATTAAACATTTATTCTACTGCCTTCAGAATTCCAATGTTTCTGATTTAAAGTCATATATTAATTTTATTAAAAGGCCTGGTAGGACTGTTTGGTTAGCATTGGATTGCTGACTAAAAGGCCATTGGTTCAAACACACTGTGGGAGAAACATGAGGCTTTCTTCTCCTGTAAATATATATTTTTTTGTATTTTTAAAATCACTTTATTAGTGACTCATACAACTCTTATTACAATCCATACATACATCAATTGTGTAAAGCACATTTGTGCATTCATTACCCTCATCATTCTCAAAACATTTGCTCTCCACCTAAGCCCCTGGCATCAGATCCTCATTTTCCCACTCCCTTCCGCTCCCCCCTTCCCTTATGAACCCTTGATAATTTACAAATTATTATTTTGTCATAGCTTGCCCTGTCCAATATTTTTAAAGCCTCTGAATCCCTATATATGATCGCTACATATCAGAATTTACTCAATGGCCATGGTTTTAAAATTAAACTTACTGTGTGTGCATCCCTGTGTTTATCTTACTTGAAGTTCATTGAGCTTTTTGGAAGTATGCTATTATTGTTAGACACCATTGAGTCAGCTCTGACCCATAGCGACCCTATGCACAACAGAAGGAAACACTCTCCTTTGCATCATCCTCACAATTGTTCCTGCACCATCCTCACAATTGTTCCTAGGCCTGAGCTAATTGATGCAGCCACTGTGTCTACCCATCTTGTTGAGGGCCTTCCTCTTTTCCACTGCCTTACCACTTTACCAAACATGATGGCCGCCAAGGACTGGTCTCTCCTGATCATATGTCCAAAGTTTTTAAGAAGTCTTGCCATCCTTGCCTTTAAGGAGTACTCTGGTCTTACTTCTTCCAATACAGATCGGTTTGTCCTTTTACCAGTGCAGGGTACTTTCAATATTCTTCTCCAGCACCACAATTCAAATGCATCAATTCTTCTACAGTCTTCTTTATTCAGTGTCCAACTTTCACATGCATATGAGGCACTGGAGAATAACATGATTTGGGTCAGGCACACCTTTGACCTCTAAGTAATGTCCTTGTTCTTCATTACTCTAAAGAGGTCTTGTGCAGCAGATTTACCCAATGCAATACATCTCTTGATCTCTTTGCTGCTTCCATGAACATTGATTGTGGATTAAAGTAGACAAAGTCCTTGACAACTTTAACCTTTTCTCCATTCATCATTATGTTGCCTATTGGTCCACTTGTGAGGATTTGGGTCTTTCTTACATTTAGTTGTTCTCTCCTTTTGGTGTTTCCATTGCACATATAGTCATGTGTTTAGTGATGTCCCATAGTCCTCAGAGGCACAGTCCATTTTTTTCCATTCCTTTTATTTACTCTGGTCTTTGGATTGCATAATCACTCTAGATCTATCTTTGAGTTGATTGATTCTTTTTTTTCTTCCTCTTTAACTCTACTGTTGAATTCCTCTGGTAAAATTTTCAATTTGGTTATTATACTTTTTAATTTAAGAATCTCTATTTCATTCTTCTTAAACATATTTATCTCTTTTCTGATATTTTCTATTTGTGATGTGTCGTTGTCATTATATCTTCTTTTACTCCTCGAAGCATGGTTTCCTTTAGCTATTTGAAAATAAGTACTGTATAATGGCTGCATTGAGTTCTTCGTCTATTAAGTCTGACATCTTTACCCTCTCACCATTCCTCTTGCCTTCTTTTCTTGTTCTTCTTTGGGTGTGGTCATGATTTTATGTTTCTTTGTCTCATAATTTCTGGTTGAAAATTAGGTAACATATTGGAGCAATCCTGCCTACTGATTCCTTTGTAAGCAGTAGCCCCTCTAGACATTAGTAGATTATTAGAAATTAGGAGAAATCTAGATATTAATTCCTATGAAACCAGCAGTCAATCAAAAGATGTAGTACATTGGGCAAAACTGACACAAAAGGCCCCTTTAAAGTGTTAAAAAGCAAAGATGTCAACTTGAGATGTCAACTTGTGCTTGACCCAAGGAATGGTATTTTCAGTCACCTCATATGTATGTGGCAGCTGGATAATGAATAAGGAAGGCTGGAGAGTTTTGTCTCATATACTGTTACCAGGAGGAAGCAGTCTCCCAAGAAAAACATCATGCTTGTGCAAAGCAGAGGGTGAGAGAAAGATAGGAAATACCCTCAATGAGATAGGTTGATACAGTGGCTACAACAATGTGAAGATGGCAAAGGACTGGGCAGTGTTTCAGTTTGTTGTACATTTGTGTCATTAATAGTCAGAACTTACTTGATGATACTAACAATCACAATAACCAATTCATTCCCCCTTCCAACACCTATTATTATCATTTGGTTATTATTTGCTTGCTTTTTGTTTAGTGACTTGATTTGAATGGATTATTTAAAAGTCTAAATTTCATTTGATGTTACCCATCAAAGCATACATCCTTGAGCAGGGGCACAGTCACCGACAGCCCTATAGAGGGTTTCCAAGGCTGTAAATCTTTATGGAAGTAGATAAACTCATTTACTCCCATCGCTTGACTGTTGGGCTTGAACTGCTTACCCAAGAGCTCCACCTCTACCACAGCTCCTTGAAACATATGTCTTCATTAATATCACCAAAAACCCTATTTCAATTGGGATCACAACCATAGGTAGAGGAGTTAGGATTTATAACATGTATTTGGGAGAGCCCAAGTTAATACATAATAATAAGAGTTATCATTTATTGAGTTCTACTCTGTACATTTATTATTTCTACTTCTCACCAAAATCCTAG